CACAGAGATCCAAACAGATCTCTGCCTCCCAAGTGCTAGGATTAAAGGTGTGAGCCACCACTGCCTGACCTCTGTGGCTGGCTCTGTCCTCTGATATTCAGGCAAGTTTTATTTCTTAGATTACAAATATCACCACAGACTTTCTTTGGCCTCAGGGAAGCGGAGATAGCTTGAGTGTTGGTCTCTGGGAAACAGACAGAGAAATAGGTACACACACACCTCACTGGACATGGGATAATGTACTTCAGTCAGAACAAGACTCACAACGTGAGTCTTTTAAGACGTAACAGTGCAGGCAGGGTGGGAAAACACAAAGACTTGTCTTAGCTGGAGCTACAGTTCCTGAAATGTGTGCTAAGGCATCCCAGGGTGCCACGGTGCATTCTCAGGGAACACTGCAAGGCATCTGGGGACAGGGAGATGCTTTGAGACAGTGTCTCGGTGTGTAGCCAGCCCTGGCTGGCCTGGAACTCACTCTGCAGACCAAGCTGGCTTGAACTCACAGAGATCCACATGCCTCAGCCTCCCAAGTGCTGGGATTAAAAGTCTGTGCCATCACACTTGGCTATTTTCGTTTTAAGGGAAGGTAACATGGGGATACGTAGTCTGTCAGATACCTCCTGAACACCTTGAGAGAGCTCAGGGTTCCAACACTGGGTACTCTCCCCCTTGGTTACCTCTTTAACAAACTGGGTTGGCAGCCATTGCTGTGATAAGAAAACAAATTCTAGGCAAAAGCCAAAGCAAATTAGGAAGCCCACATGATACACCCAACCAAATTAAAGCTCCAAAGTAGACCCAGAATCCTTCCAATAAGCAAGTGCATTAAGAACTAAAGCAAGGGTTTGTGTCTTTCACTCATTTCCAACTGTAATTTTTTTTCTTTTGAGACAAGGTCTCATGCATCCCAAACTGGCTTCAGCCTGCTATGTAGCCCGAGGACAACTTTTAACTTCTGATTCTCTTGCCTCCGCCTTCTGAATGCTGGAAGTACAGACATGTGCCGCCGCCGCCGCCGCATCCAGCTTACCAGGTGCTGGGAACAGAACCCAGGACATACATGCGAGGCAAGAACTCTACCAGCTGAGTTCCGCTCCGCCATTAACTTCCTAGGACAGCTGGGGAATTCCTGGTTGTTTGACCCAAACACATCAACAGAACGGTTAGGTCTTCCTTTTGCTGGTCTGTGTGTGTGTATGTGTGTGTGTGTGTGTGTGTGTGTGTGTGTGTGTGTGTGTGTGTGCACATGTACACATGGAGAGACCAGAGATCAAGACCGGGTGTGTTCCAGTTCGGTTCCCCACCTTGTTTTCTGAGACAGGGTCCCACTGAGCCTGCAGCTCACCAACTAACTAGCCTGGCCAGCTAGCAAGTGCCTCGGATCCTCTCGTTTCTAGTACCTGCTTTGGAGGCACATGACTCCAAACCCAGCTTTTCACCTGGGTTCTGGGGACCTAAACTCAGGTCGCCACGCCTGCTATGGCACTTTGCCCACGGAGCCGTCTCCCAACCCTCTACTTGGCCGAAAGATGTCACCAGGAAACTACTGAGGCACACACGGCCACTACTGTCAACAGAGGGAGCTGAGACCTCCAGGCCTGCAACAAACAGCAAGGAGCCGTGGAGGGCCGCTAACCATCACCGCTGTGTCCCTCAGGTGCGGGTGGGTGGGAGGTGACACCGCCTCGTGTAGTTCCTGGCTCCCTGGCTGCCATCCCAGGGCTTCCAGGGCCTGACAGCTGTCCCTACCACACTCATTGTCCCTGTCACCGCATCACACGGTCCCTAGAGGACAATGGTGAGGCGGGGGTGGAGTGGTTTAGGGAAATCTCTGGTCCACAAAGAGGAAGTAGGGTTGCAGGCAGACCGCACTGGAAGTGTCTGGCCCACACCCTCTCCGAAATCAATACGATCTCCCTTGACTGCCAGGCACTGCGGTGTGTGGCTGGCGGGTCCTTTCTCTTAGGATGACTATGGGTACCGCCATCACAAGCCTGGCCTAATCTAACAGTCACTTCCTGCTTGTACAGCCTCAGGTGACACCCCTGCCGGTCCCTCTGACCTCGTTTTCCTAGCTGCTGCTGTGGGCAACCAGGGCTCGGGCCTCAGACTTGGATCTGGGCTTCATCCCTCCCAGTGTGGTCCCATCCACACCAGGGTTCTCACCTGTCCTCTAGTCCCAAATTCAATTAGTAGAGCTTAACTGCTTGCCATGTACTCCACTCAAACGTCATGGTGAAGGTACCAAAGCTGGGCTCCGGGGCACGGAGGCAAATGAGCAAAAGCAGGTATGGGCCACAGACCTTCGAATGGCAGGAAGACCCTTCCCGGAGGACTGGCAGCCTAAAGCAGAGAGTTGTCTGCCAGGCAGCCGCCTCTCTGAGAGCTGGCTGTGTTGGACAGTTTACTATCACTGAGAATACCTGACTCCTAATCCAGTCCCAACTACTCTACACAACTCCACCTGTCTTGAAAGGCAGTCTCCCAAGCGAGACCCCGAAGCCATTCTCATTCATGATGGGAAGAGGGATGTCTCCGCAGTAATTCAGCAAGAAGCCAGCGGTGTCTGCGCTGGGTCCTCTGCATATGCACTAGGGCTGTGTAGCTTATTCTTGTGGGACTCCCAACAGTGGGAGCGGAGTTGTCTCTGACTCATTCGCTTGCTCTTGGGACCCTTTTCCTCGTACCCAGTTGCCTCGCACAGCCTTGGTATAAGGTATGTGCCTAGTGCTAGTGTAACTTGTCATGCCATGTTTGATTGATATCCCCAGAAGGCCTGCTCTTTTCTGAAAGGAAATGGAGTAGATATGGGGGAGAATGGAAGTGGGGAGGAACTAGCAGGGTGGAGGGAGAGGAAACTGTGATCAGACTGTAATATATGATAATTTTTTTAAAAAAAGCCAGTAGGGTTGGGGATTTAGCTCAGTGGTAGAGTGCTTGCCTAGCAAGCACAAGGCCCTCAGCTCGGGGATGGGGGTGTGAGCCAGTGATTGGGAACAGGGAGCTGTGCTGATTGGTGTAAATAGAATCCTCCCGTTAACATGTCCAACATGTCCTACACCCCTCCTGGCTATATGACCAGGCGGCTCAGCTTTCTCCAGTCAACGGGGAGACATCTGAGATGCCCCCGGTGCTACACTAGGCCCAGCAAAGGCTTCCTCAGGACAGTCTTTTATCTACTCCTCAGTAGTGCAGGCTCATCTGGTAACACTCACAGTGGCACCAGTGAAGACAGTGGAACAGAGGCGGAAGGTGATGGGCGACAGACCCAGGCCCATCACTAGAAGAGGCCTTGGAATTACCAAGCCTCGAAGGCCAAGGGTCTCAACACCCAAGGGTGAGGAGCTGTAATGCCGCCTTGCACTGCCTGCCTCTACCACCAGCTACTGCTCAGAGTTGAGGCACTGCTGAGTGCTGGGTTGCAGGGAGTAAAAAGCCAGGGCAAGATTCCTCTAACCCCAGCGGCTGGAGCTGCCAGTCTCTGCTGGCTCCTGAGGCCTGGACCCATGCACCTCTAGTTCCCAGGGCTTTGAGCCACAAGCTTGAGTCTATCAGTCCATCAGGTTTCAGCACTCATGAGCCAAGGGTTACTAATGCTAGAACCACTCAGCTACTCTGATTTCCGTGAAGTAAAATGACCCTAGCTAGCTAATTGGTTAACAGCAACTGCCAAGGTCCCCATGATTAAACAGGAGCCAGCTTCTCTCCTAAATGACACCTAGACATCTCCTCCTCGGCCAAATTTGGATGTCAACAGGACACAGAAGATGCTCTCACCGTCCACACAGGTATACATGGTCCTGACCTGCTTGCCCAGGTTGAATGACCCACACCACGAGGACAAAGTTACATATAGCATCTTCATGGGATGATGCTGTCTGGAGTTATGATTTTTCTTTATAAGGCAAGATTGATATACCCAGAACCAGATGTGATATACATGTTATGAATCTATAAAGTCAATGTTCAAGAAGCCCTCAGCAGACCTTTCCAGCACCCACACCTTGTTCCAGCACACATTCTATGAAGGAGGTTATTGTGCGGGTCTTTTTCTGGCCAATTTATGTCTGGGTTTTGTCTTCTGGTACTAGGTACATCTTCAGTCTCGCTTTATTATTTATTTTATGGCCTTGTTAAATGTCATACTGAAACATGGGGTTCTCTTTTTCTTTTTCTTTTTTTCTTTTTGGCTTTTGAGACAGGATTTCTCTGTGTAGTAGGCGTGGCTGTCCAGGAACTTGCTTTGTAGACCAAACTGATGAACTCAAGAGACCTGCCTGCCTCTGCCTCCCCAGTGCTGGGACTAAAGGCATGCATCACAGTTCGTCTAGCTTCAAGACAGTTTTTACACTCAGGATTGCATCATCCTTGGCTTCTCAATGTTGTAGGCATTTCTGGTTCCTGAAGTTAAGCACACTGCTACAGGGTGTCCCTGGCGGGCCTTTTGTGCACATACCATTAATTCTCTGGGACAGACCCCAGAAGTGGTTCTTCCAATCCATTGAGAGCGGTCCTTTACCTACCCAAGGCAGTGTCTCAGCACAGCCTTCCAGCCCTACCCAAGGCAGTGTCTCAGCACAGCCTTCCAG